TTTAGTCATGCCACAGGCCACAGTATAAACTAAAACACATATCAGCTTTCCTAAAGGTAAAGTTATTCAGATTAAAATGTAATGAACTAGTCAGAATTTAAATGGCCAAAGGCTAATCACAATTATTTGGTAGTGTTAAATACAATTTTGACCAAAATCTCATACCATGATTCCAGCACTGAACCATTTTAGATTATGGGTAACTCAGGTATGTACGGTTTACACGCTAAGTTTTCACTGAATTACTGCCTGCATATTCTATTACATTATCAGACCAATTAAGGTGTTCTAAAATAATGCAGTTTCTAGAAATAAAAGCTCACAAAGGAATTCCACTATTGAAAATTAAGTCCATGGATGACTGTTCAATATAATATTCTGGTTTTGATCCAAATCAACGGAAAAAAATAACTTTATTGGAATTTTATACATGCAGAAATTCACTTTGTGTTTTAAAAGTAAGTTATTTGTATTTCATTAATCTTACAGAGTTAGGGGGAAAATATACATTTAAAAAAACCCTGAAATAAACCAGTCAGAAAATTATCCACTACATTTGAAAGGATTTTACTGTGCTGATAACAACACAGATTCTGTTTTGCTTTCTGCAGCTAACAGAAACTCTACCAGAAAAGTATAACAGTGTGTAATTTATTGTTTTTTAAAATACAGATTTCCATCATAAGGTTATGGTATAACCCTTTAAATAGCTACCGCAGTGCAAACAACAGTAAAGGAAATGCCCAAAATGTAACTAGATAAACCATGATTCTTTAAAGCTGGCTGCTGTGAAATGCATGTGGCATTCTCTCTTCAGCATGAAATAGGAAACTCAGAAAACAGACATTCAAATCCTTTTTAGTAACTCAGCATATTTTACTTAAGTGAGCTTCCTCAGTTGTATAAAAATTGGAATCTTCTTCTATTTTTCTTAACCTAATGACTCGATTAACTCTTTTATGTCTGTGTTTTAATGTTCACATTATTTCCTAAGAGCAGCTGGCTGCTTTAGCTTTACAGAACAACTTAACATGATTCTCAGCTGAGGATCCCAAAATGGCAGAAGAAGAAATTATATTAAAATTCAAATGCTGTATGACACTCTTGCCATCCAATTTAGATCTGCATCTAGGAAGACTAAATCTAACCTGATCTTTAAAGTATCTACTTAAAACTATTACATTATAAGGTTTGTCTTTAAGGGAACATTGAGACAATCATAATAGCTGATCATATCTCCTAGATTACTTAACATAGTAAGATTCAAGGATAGACTTTTATAAAATGTTATTTTAAACATGTATTAGAATGAAAAGCAGTCCATGGTATAGCAGAATATAAAATAATTTTCTTCTGCTGCTACTTACTGCATTTAACAAATAAAGCTATTGAGCAAGAACCCTTCCAGTAGAAATATTAATAAAAAAAAACAGGAGAATAATTTCCTACTTCACTCCCTCCACCTCTTTTGAGATGTGTGTATTGGCAGTAGAAACTACTCTCTCCTTTGTTTTAAGCAACAGATGTTCCCCAATTTTAGAAGCTAATGCTGAGTTAAGAAAAGACAGGACATAGTCCTGACCCAAACCCAGTCCACAGAAACTCTGAAGGGTAGCCCCACAAAACTATAATCTGTAATACCTTGGTGAGGCTTGTTTTCTTACAGCAACCACACCACTAGGCTTTTGCATTGGAATCATACCAGGTTTGCTAGAAGAGGACAATACTCATAATTTCCATTATAAAAGGTAAAGAATTCTTCTTGGAACCCTACTTGTATTATCACTTCCAGGACAGTTACTTCCACTTAACAGCAAACAGGAGATCCTTCAGAATGCTTGTAGTTAGGGCCATAAAAGAGGATCAAAGAAGGTAAAAAACCACCCACTCCCAAATTGGCTTTTGCTTTATTTTTGAGTATTAAGACTAGTTTTAGTTTCAATAGTTATTAAAAGGAGAATTACTCTTTTTGCATTTAAGACTGCAAAGTGGTACAAACCTGTTGCCACTCTTAAGCCAAATATGAATCAATTTTATTGAACTAAATATTATGTAATATTTTCTCTTCATTGTTGGGCATTTTCAAGGTCTGATACAGTATTAAAGAGCATCTCTTTTATTTAAGTAAATGGGCATTAGCTGCATGAAAGCTCATGCATACACTTACCTTTAAATAATATAGCTGCCCTAATAGCTTTAACAATATCACTCCTATAGTTAATATAAATACATCTTTTGTAATCAGAGCTTTGTTATTGCTATTCCCTAAATCAACTCTAGGTCCAGGTATCACTAGTGTAGCAGTCTACATTTCATCATTAATATCAGTATCTGAAAAAGGCGAATACTGTTAAAAGATGTTAACTCGTTAAAATAAATGATCCATAAAATCTCATAGGAAAATATACCTTGCTTTTCACATACGCTTTTAAGTTTAGCTTTGTACTTCCATTTCTCATTCTAAAAAAGTATCATTCTTATGCATCTGCCATTTAAAAATAGCCACATAAACAAAAGAACAAACTTACTACGCTGGCCCAGGCAGAGGCTGGGTTTATTTTGGTGAGCTATCCTTAAGCTTCCCCTCTCTCTGAAACTTTCTAGAATCTGTATTTGTTCTGAACATTTGTACCAGTGGCAAAGAACTGTTTAGAACTAATTTCCCAAACCGACTAGAACACCTTATCGCTGTAGAACCAGGAGCGGTTTCTTCCAGAAAGGACAGACGGCGGCTGGGTTTCAGCGGGGGCGGTGAGATGGGATCGCCTGCTCTACAGCAGCCATACAACACTGGCTCACGGAAACACTGACGAAAAAGCTTCAACTTTTGCCGCTAAGTGAGCGAAAAGCCTCTTCAGCAAGAACGAACCGATTCCGTGCTCGCTGTCAACATGCCAAGAAGAGCCCGCGGGCACCCAGCAGCACCTTCCCGCCCGACAAGGCCGCGACTCACAGTCCCACCTCATCTCTGAACAACGAGAAAAGCTGCGGCGTCCCTCATCCTTTGTCCTACAGACACTCTCCCAAAACACAGACGGGACCAGAGCGCACCCGTGAGCGGCGGAAGGGGGGGAGAGCCCTGGGAGCCCCCGGGGCGGGGGTGAGGGGCGGGGGTGGCCTTTCC